CGATTGTTATATATCTATGTAAAGTACACGAGAAGCTATAAAACGAATTTCAATTTTGCTTTAAAAAAACGATTGTTATATATCTATGTAAAGTACACGAGAAGCTATAAAACGAATTTCAATTTTGCTTTAAAAAAACGATTGTTATATATCTATGTAAAGTACACGAGAAGCTATAAAACGAATTTCAATTTTGCTTTAAAAAAACGATTGTTATATATCTATGTAAAGTACACGAGAAGCTATAAAACGAATTTCAATTTTGCTTTAATAAAACGATTGTTATATATCTATGTAAAGTACACGAGAAGCTATAAAACGAATTTCAATTTTGCTTTAAAAAAACGATTGTTATATATCTATGTAAAGTACACGAGAAGCTATAAAACGAATTTCAATTTTGCTTTAAAAAAACGATTGTTATATATCTATGTAAAGTACACGAGAAGCTATAAAACGAATTTCAATTTTGCTTTAAAAAAACGATTGTTATATATCTATGTAAAGTACACGAGAAGCTATAAAACGAATTTCAATTTTGCTTTAAAAAAACGCTTGTTATATATCTATGTAAAGTACACGAGAAGCTATAAAAGCAAAAGTTTTTTTTTTTTACAATATTAGCGACTTTTTGAGCTTGGTGTATGTATATCTTATGACATTTGGAATATAACTAGACACTTTGAATATGAATTCACCTATGACAAAAAAACTTATGTGGGCGTGGCACATCCGGGTTGAATTACTTATTGTTTACATTTAGAGGCTGGGGCATAACTCGCATAGGATGCGTTTGTTCAAAAAGGGCCTTTGCACACAATTACCTCATCCTTTTGGCCAGTTTGTGTTAACAGCTCAATTGTTTCAGCTTTATAGTTCCAAAAAAGGAACGGGTTTTTTACATTTGGATATTTTCATTTTTCGATTTTGACCTTTGTTGACATTTGTTGACCTATATCTTTTGACCTGTTTATGTAGGAGCTTGAAATTTGGAACATAACATAACATTTTGAATATCAATTAACCTATGCAAAAAAAATTGAGGTGGGCGTGGCACATCCGGGTTTAATTACTCATTATTGACATTTTTGGCCAGGGGCATAACTCGCAAAGTATACATTTGTTCAACATGGAACTTTGCACACAATTACCTCATATTTTGAGCCACTTTGTCTTAGAATTTCGGTTGTTTCCACTTCATAGTTCAAAATAACTTTTGTAGGATCAAACGTCATTGGCATTGGCTATCTATTTATACTTTTATATTTGCTGTCCTATGTCAACTTTCGGTTTTATAGTCGTGTGCAATTTGAAATTTTGATGACGTATATCTCTTGATCTTGACCTTTTTAGACCTTCTCCTTTACAAGGTCAAAGGTCATTGACCTTGGCTATCTGCTGATACTTTTATTTGTGATATCTAGCGTCTACTTCCGGTATTAGAATCTTCTAAAAAATAAAAATTTCTCAACATTAGACTGTTCTTGAACTTGACCTAATCATCGTCCATGGTTGATTTTTTAGGGTTCTTTAGCAAATTACTACATTTGCAAAGTCCCACTCTGTGCCACGAGTGGCTCTGGTTATTATTATTATTATTATATCAGGATACGTACTGTATTGTGGCATGATTGGCAATGGATGGACAGAATGATGTGGCATATAAAAGGCATAAAGGATTATCATTTCTGACTCAATAAAATAGGAAATGTATTCTTACCTCAATAGGATCCATAGAATCTGCTATTTTACTATATGATTGGATTAATTTATTATATGATTCCAAGTCAACTATAACAAAAGAAAGATAGCTTTTTTATACAGTATTGAATATCATGTTTTTTAATCTTCAAAAATAAACCAATGAACATTTCAAAACGTCTTAAACCAATGAACATTTCCAAACGTCTCAAATCTCAAAACTATCAAATTAAATGAGGTAAAAACAAGTCCAACTTTCTGAATCATTCAATAGAAATAAATGTTTCAGGATGGGTGATAGCATCTTTGGCAAAGAGCCAAAAAGGCCCGTAACAGAACAGGAACTGTTAACAGAAATTTTGTAATAGTTTGAAAAATTTAGAATTTCATCAATATTAAGAACATTCTAGAATTCATCAATGTAGCTAAACACTTTCATCCAAATATGTTGAAGGTCGTAGATTACATTAAAAGAATGATGAAACATAAGCACAATATACTGTACATTTTACCTGGTATTTTAGAAGAAACCATTTCAAGATAAAGTTTCTGAGCACTCTCATTATCGCCATGCTGAAAATATCAAAAATAAAATTCAGTAGTTCTAATGCCGTAGTTCTTGTTTTTTTTAGTTTCTTTTTGTTCTGCAGGTTCATCCAGTTCTATTCTTGATCTAGAAATGTTGTAAACACACAATGATTTCTATGGATTATCTTGTCTGTAAACAATTTACATTATTCAAATGCTCTATTAAAAAAAATGTTCACTCCTTGTGAAGAATTCAAAGATATAACAGTAACCCTGCCTTAAATGATATAAGCCCTTGTGTTATTTTACTATTCAACTTGAAAAGAAATGATCGTATGACATATCCAATGTAAGATAGCCATCTAAAATGCTGGCAATATTTTAGTGCTGTATCAAAGGTGAAAAGGCTCAAACTCTCTTGATGATATATTACTAACCTCAGCTCGGCCTTGTAATAAAGTATTGTAAGCTCTGGCTGGTTTTGTAGGTAATTCTTTGAATAATTTTTCAGCCTCATTATTTTTCCTAAAACATAAAAAAAAGTCCAACTGGTTCTAAAATTAATACAACAAAAAATATATTACAAACACACAATGAAATAATCATGCATAATTTTTCATTATACAATAATTGTACTTGTCCACAGTTCACAATGATAACAGAATTACATTTCACCAAATATTTCTGTATAAAAAAAGTTCATTTGGAAATTTATATGTAATTTTCAGTTTCGAATGAGATCAGATTTCACAGGTCTCTACAAAATGTCTGATTGGCAAAGAAATAAATCAACAGCCTTAGATGCTAATTCTAAATCTCTATTATATTTTTATGGGCCCAAAGACATTCTAAGACAAGGACCCAAAGACATTCGAAGACAATTGAAATAATATCTAAAAAATTTGTGTAATGTAAAGAAACAAATTTTCAGTTCAGAGTAGACAAAGAGTAATATTTTACATTATATTTGATGTCTTGCAAGGATATTCATAATAAAATACTTTACCGCCAAGATGGCTCTAGGTGAACATTTTCATAAAACTTAGAGTAGAGTTTTTCTTCCTTTATGGCATCAATTGGAGGTTTTCTGCAATTATATACACACAGTAGATCTAATAAATCTAACTTAGTATCTAAACTAACTTCATCATCTGAAACAAATTTCATACAAATAATCAGTTCATCGGTACACAACATTTGACAAACCCAGAATCAGAGTGGTATCTTGTGTTCAAAAAAAAGAAAAAAATATTAGCAGTTCAAGATGGATGTCATTTCTAAGATTCAAATTTCAAGGTGGTTGTCACTGCAATGACTGCAAAGAAAAAAATTTCAAGCACAATGTCAGTGCCAAGATTCCCCTTCAAGATGGGTGTCAGTGCCAAGATTCACCTTCAAGATGGGTGTCAGTGCCAAGATTCCCCTTCAAGTTGGGTGTCACTGCCAAGATTCACCTTCAAGATGGGTGTCAGTGCCAAGATTCACCTTCAAGATGGGTGTCACTGCCAAGATTCACCTTCAAGATGGGTGTCACTGCCAAGATTCACCTTCAAGATGGGTGTCACTGCCAAGATTCACCTTCAAGATGGGTGTCACTGCCAAGATTCCCCTTCAAGATGGGTGTCACTGCCAAGATTCACCTTCACAATGGGTGTCACTGCCAAGATTCACCTTCACGATGGGTGTCACTGCCAAGATTCACCTTCAAGATGGGTGTCACTGCCAAGATTCACCTTCACGATGGGTGTCACTGCCAAGATTCACCTTCAAGATGGATGTCACTGCCAAGATTCCCCTCAATATGGATGTCACAGAAAAGATTTAATCTGTCATGAAAGAAACCTGTAGTTCTGACCTATAACAGAGTATTGATAGTCAGATGTACTTACTTGTTGATTTCAAAAAATCAAAAACTTCTATAGCATCAGAAACATTACGAAGTCTAATTCGTTCTTTTAAGGCTTCCTCACATGGATTTTTGAATTTATATTGAATTTGTTTCGGTTCACATGTCTATAATATATAAAAAAACATACAACATATAGTAGCCATTCAAAAAAGGGTGTATAATATCAGATTGATATTGATTTATATCAAATGGAGTTTTACATCCTCTATTTATAACCAAGGCAGTCAACTTCAGTTTACATCGTGATATATCTAATGATATTTCACAGATACAATCTTCAATGTGGCTACTCTATTTTGATTTCGAACAGTCGAAGGCATATCGTATAGTACTCCATTCCTTTGTTTTTCATTCCACTTAGATGAAAAACACTTTTTCAGTTTCACAGACCAGCAATGCCAGGAATTTAGCAGACAGCTTTCTTCATTCTTCCAATCAGTTTAAATCTTTATGAGTTGCTTAGAATTAAGAGTGTAATATTTTCACTTACAGGTAAATAGCGTTCAGGATAATTTCTATATTTAAGAAAGCCTTTAGGATAATTATCTATAATAAAGCGTGCTGCTCTACGACCTGCACCTATAGCTTCTGCATGTTTTTTCTAGTAAAAAGAAGGAAATATCTTTTAATACCATCACCATTTACACCCTTTTTAATTAATCAAATCTAAATAATTTAAATTACAGTCAGACTTATTATACATGAATATTGAAAGATGTCAGAAAAACTAGATTTACTTTAATGTTTTTTTTTTAATCATGTTAACGCATTTATAAAGAAGAAATGAGCTGTTCCATTCATCACTTAAATCTAAATAATAGTATCTTTCTATCTCACAGCAATTGTTCATTTACAGGCTAATAGTGATATACAATCCATATTTCTATATAAGAGTAAAAACAAAAACTATATGAGCTACCTTATTATGATGTTCAAAAGTAGTAAGATACGGATCATCAATGAAACAATAATCTGGCCCAGTACTATCCTGAAATACAAGAGAAAGAAATTTCCGTTATAATTATTTATAAATGTATCTTTTATATCATTAAGATTGGTGGGCAAGCACTGTTATGTCACAACTTAGAACCTTGAAAACTTTTATTCTCCAATAGAAAACACAACTTCAGGGCAAAATTTTTCAGTTTTGAATATCATATTTACTACTTCTAAATTCGTATTTTCCATATTTCTGAGGTGTAGTAGAGATCATGGCAGAACAGTGCTCCTAACTATTGTGGGAGCATTTATAAGCATCAATGAGACTTATATAAGGAAAAAATAGATCAACATACCCTTTCTACAGTAGCAGAGAGAGCTCGTAATATTGCTGTTGGTTCCCTGAAAACATAGACAGTGTCTCTTTATGCAAATTAATTCAATATCTTTTCTTGTAGTAAACAATTTGACAATATATATATATATATATATATATATATCTGTAATTACCATTTATCATGATATAATATATATATCAGTTCTTTTAATCAGGTGATATTACTAATAATATAAATTCTTATATCATGATACCAGTATACCACACAGCCCTATAACATAGATGAGATTTTTTGAAAGAAATAAACAAACCTGTGAATTTTCTTGGGTATAACTACTTGTGAAATATCTAAATATAAAAAAATTATAATTAATTGTAAAATCAAGAATACGGTTGGAAAAACCATAAATATAAAATGATAAAAGAGAGTAAATAATATGTTCATTTCATAGTTATCTTCTTAGATTTAGTCAAATATGTAACTAGTACCCAAAGTAACATTTTGCTAATATTAGAAAAATAAAGGTCAAATGAAATGATATAATTTATATGCAGGGTCATGGTATTCAGTGATAAATCTCACCTATGTCATCATCTTTGATATCATTCTGTCTTATAGAGCTTTGACTACAAGCTCTAGACTGTACTCTCAACTGATTATTACTCGATAAGAATCTGAATAAAACAAAAAAAAAATGCAAAAATTAACTTTAGTCAATAATACAATAACAATTAAATCTACTCAGTTGGCATACATTGAATAGGCCTGTCATTTCTCAAATATTCCAAATTCGCAAGACATCTGTCTTAAATGAAATCTCAATATGTGCGGGTAAAGTTTGCAGCGTAGTTTGGCTTGCGGTACAGTGAGTCAGAAATCTATCCTGTGTAATATATATGGCAAGAATGACCATTGACTCAGTGTCTGTGCTCCCTGTGAGACGATAGCTCAGTCAAGATTTTCTCAACGGCCAAAAAAATGCATTTAAGCCGCTATATGCTATTTTACTGCTTCTGTCCAAGAAAATTCTTGAAGATAAATTAATTTAACTTTGGTCGAACTTTCCGTATCTTGATGCTACTATGAATAATGTAATAATCAGATCTTTAATCAAATTTGCAACATGCCCTGCTCTGAATTTCACTGGATACAACTATTAAATCATGTGCTCACAGTCACATGATCTGTACAGGTGAGTGAACAAGTGAGCCACCATCTGCGGTGAAAATATATGATATGACAGGGACAATCGGCACACAAGACAAACGGATGATTTGTTGACTCATGTGTACGCCATTCTTTAGAATACCCTTGAGTCCATTGAAAAGGCTGGTTGTTTGAAAATCAAAAATATCACAAGTAAAATTACTGGTTAAGGTTATCAAATTAAGTGCAATGCCAATCTTAGCAAGTTGGTAATTGGCATTTCACACACATTTTTCAATATTTACATTGCAACATGAAGTCTTTCTTGTTAAACAACTGTCCATAAGTTGGCATTATTTGACAAACATTTAGCTTACATTAGCCCAAATGCTTCAATCAACCGTTTTGTCTAAAGCCTAGATATACCTGATTATTTTTGTCAAATTGGAAATACTAGATCTATGAAGACACTGTATGGAGATCGCCATGTTAGAAAATCTATTTTGCTACAGAATAAATAATCAGTTCAGTATGGCGAGAATTATTTTCACAAGATTTCTGTTCCTTTTCTTGGACAGTTTAAGAGAGGGTAAGCGTATGAATTTTTTGGACAAAGATTTATTTGAAAACTGTTGTTATTACTATATTAGTGAGATATTTATTTCAGCTGATGACGAGTTCATAAATTCTATTTTTAAAACTAGAAATAAATTCTATAAATAGACATTTATCACAGTCCAAGACCTTAATTCATCATAAAAAAGAGCTGCCTTTGACATGTTAGTTGAAACTCTTTGGTCTAAGTAGACCTACATGTAACTGCACAATTATCCGTTATTTCTTAAGAAGAAGAAAGATGAAGTGGTACAAGTAGTTGTAGGGTCAACTGATTGTCAAGTGAAATTCATCGCTGTCAGAATGAAAAGAGTTCAGATTTTTAAGAATGGAAGCACAACAAATGGAAAGGTGGGTGACTTTTCTAAAGCTAACCATTCGTTCCTTTTACAGAGAGGACTTTTAACTTGTAGGCCTAGGCGTAGCTTATGATTAATATCCCCTTTTCCCAATTTTTTAAAGTGGCTCACTTGATAGCTTATCCATTGAGGTTATATGGATAACAGAGCTTTCTTATCTTCTTGCCTCAAAATATGATGGCAACACTCACTGAATATCTCATTTAATGCATTCTGTCTCAGGAGTAGGCCATGCAAAGTCTATACCGGTAAGTGTATGGTGCTAATCAAATGAAAGAGTACATTATAATTGATTTTAATCTAAGGTAATACCATTGTATGACAGTGTTGAAGATATTCTACGTTATGCTAGTCAAAAACTTAAAGTAAATGGTACCAAATTATTTACAGAGAAAGGTTGTCTAATTGATGATATACAACTTATCAGGTAAAAAATAATAGGTTTGTAAAGCTCTGAGACTATATGATATCCATCGCTTTGTCTTTGTCTGTGAACAGAGCAAGATCATAGCCTTACAAATGAATGGGCAGGATGATATCCTACTGCATGCTAATTGAAATAAGATTTTTGAAAAATGATTTTCTGCATTTTGTGTAGTAAGCTTATATATATCATCTTCACCTCTTGAGGCACTTTAAATAGATTTTGGACATCTTGCATCTGAGACAACAAATAGATATTCAGGGAATTTGTTTCTGTACGCAGATGCAATATTACTGGTACTCTAAAAGACTGTCAAGAATAAACAGTCATATTCATACGTATCATATCACCCAACTGTATCATATCACCCAACGCTATGTTCATTTTAATATCTATGGTAAACAATCATAATATGTATTACTAAATAAACAGTAGAATTAAGAAAATAGAGAATCATACATTTGGTTTTCCAACAAATAGTTATTTTAAACTACAACGATCATATTATAAATATATATGTAAATAGCAAGGTGTCTAATCTCATGGCCCTTAAGAATTAAGATAAATAATCTTACATACGTTCTAATGTTTCAGAGATGATGAAACTTTGTATGTTTCTGAGGGAGAAGATTTTATTTGTAAGTGATATTTTTATATAATGAATCTTTAATCTAAGTGATTACTAACAGAACTCACTATCCAATTTATTTGTCTTCTGCTGCAAAGTTTCGTTTTGTGATCTATCTTGATTTGACTTATTTGTATATACCGTAACTGATTTGAGCAAAGTTTAATTCAGTTCACTCTCTCTTAATTGCCTAATTTATTTTATTTATTTATTTTGATAACTGATTGAGTTGATAATTGAGGGATATTTGATAGTAGTTCATTTTGTCTTTTGTACAGATGCACCATTTTGTGGGGTTGATTTGAATCTTGAATATTTGTAAATAGTCTTAGAAGTACTGTACTAGAAATGTACGAAAATTGCACAATTCCTTCAAAAATATCTCAAACAAGGAATTTCTTTTCCTATTTCTATAGATGTCTTTTCTGTATATGGCAGTGTCTAAACAAAAGATGACTTTTTAACTTGCAAATGTGGGTATTTCTGGACACACATGAATTTGAAAACTAAAATTTTGACAGTGAGCTGTAAACACTATTACTGATTGGCTTAGCTAAAAAAATTTCCTGTTTCTGAGATTAAGGTATGATTGGTATATATATTGGCTCACCTGTTCCTTTAATTAATGTTAATGTGATGTATTTTTATAACTGTGCTGTATGTGATGTAGTAATATTTTGATGTAGTAATATAAAGGATGTTAACTTTCAGATGGTAACTGTACTAACAATACTGGTACCGGTAACACTAATCACCTAGAAATGACAAAAACATCCTGTTCTAAAGATGAATGGATTACATTGAATGTTGGTGGTAAAATCTTTACCACTACTAGGTATTTTTTTTTTATATATAATTACTTATTGTAGTCAATTAATATAGATGATTTTTTTCCTAATTTCTTTACATAATTTATTATGCTTATCAAAATGGGAAAAGGATTGCAAAAATTTTTCTTTGATTTATACATTTTGGTGAATGGACTTATTCACAGTGATCATTTCCATATCAGTCCTGTAATTTATAAATCAAGCAAGTGGAAACCTTTGAAAAGTCCTTTGAAATGTCATGATGGACCACCAAGCAAGTTCCAACTCATTGATACCTTAGCTGCCTTGTTTTGCTAAGACACTAGTTCTTGAAAGATTAAAAAAAAAAAATTTATCAATGTTTTATTCTTATAGGAGTACATTAACTGGTCATGAAAAAAAGTAGGGAGGTTTTTACTTTTACCTAAAACTTTACTTAAATATTTGTTATTATTTAAAAAGTGGGACTCTATATATTTAAGGGTTGCAAATGCAAATAAGGATGCTGTTTTAGGATATGAACAGTAACAGTAGATCACTATCATGATTGTATTTATTTGAAAATAAAATATAATTAATATTTTGTACTTGTAATTTATTTAAGAGAAATTGTAATTATATTTTCTACTATTTTAAGATGTAATGTGGAAAAGTAGTGTGGATGANAATGGAGCCTATTTGATAGATAGAAGTGCTGTTTATTTTGAACCGATATTAAATTATTTACGTCATAATTGTTTAATATTAGATAAAAATATTAATCCATATGGTAAGGCTATTACAAATGAAGTGATGTTAAAATCAATGAAATGAGGTTTTTATCTTTGAAATAAGGAAAGTATCCATGATATGAGGTTATTACCAATGAAATGAGGTTAAAATCACTGAAAGAAGTTATTACCAAGGATATTCTATTGTTATCAATAAATTCGATTATTATCAATAAATGAGGTTAATATCCAAAAAATGACATGAATATCAATAAAATGAAATATCAATAAAATGACATGAATATCAATGAAATGAAATATCAATAAAATGAAATGAATATCAATGAAATGAGGTTGATATCAATGATATTGTAGGTGTGTTAGAAGAAGCTCAGTTTTTTGGTTTAACATCTTTAATAGACCAATTAGAAGAAATAATAGTGGTAAGTTATTAATGATGATATTAGAATAGTATGGAAGACAGACAATTCACAGGATTATTTGATATGTCAATGATGAACCTCTTCTTTTTAATTTTGAAATAACATATACCATATTTATAAGATTTTATGCTTTTTTAGCTTGTAACTATGATTAAATGTTATTGTAGACCAGTGAGCCAGCGAATGATGATACAGCTATTTGTAGACGAGAATTTATATTAAAGTTATTATCAACATCTACTAGTACAGAACTACGCTGTCAGGTAATATAGCATATTGATAATTTGATGGATGATGTCTTTGCTCTGGGAATGTCTACTCCGGTAAAAAATTTTCACAGAAAATTTGAAGGACTGTTTGCTAGGAAGTCAAATAAACAGTTGCAAGATCATTTCATGTCCAACATCATAAGTAAGATACTGTGGACTAAAAATTTCAAAGTTTATCAAGTTAAATGAAAATTTTTTTCTTTAATCTGCTGAAAGGATAAGTAAACTTTTCATATATGAAGTTAGAGATAGAAATAGATATCTGGTCTTACATTATTGATAATATAAATTAGGCTAAATTTGTTGATATAAGTTATTTGCAGTTAAAATCTGATGTCTTTGTCACCTGTAATTGAATAAATAATCAATAATTGGGTTTTAACTAGTGCTTAAAGAAATAATCATTTTATGATATTTCACATCATGTGTTGAATTCTGTCTTCATCTAATTGTTTTTTGTTTCAGGGAATGAACTTTACAGGTGCTAATTTATCAAAACTAGATTTACGCAATATAAATTTTAAATATGCTATATTGCATAAAGCTAATTTATCAGGAGCTAATTTAGCTTGTTGTAATTTTGAAAGAGCAGATTTATCAAAAGCTATTTTAGATGTAAGTATAATATCTTTCTTGTCTAAAACTGTCTTAATTTCATGTCATTGGACATTGATATTAATATTAATATTGGAATTTAATATTAGAGATTCAAATTCTGTATCAGTACAAATTCAAATTAGTTGGCTTGGGGTTTAGATTTTAGGGGCAAAATTTCCCTCGTTGCACACTGCATCAGGTCAAACTGTTACCAGTGCAGAAAGTAAGATGTAAAACTTTATTTCAAATCATTTAGACTTTAGGGTGTATAGTCTAGTCAGCTTAGAATTTTATTTTAGTTTTCCATTTTTATTTCTAGTTTAATATTAGAACAAAATTTCATACTTTTCAATGGTCATTTCTACATGACAAAAATGATTCTCATTAGCAGATAGATATCAGGTGTTTTTGTTTTCAATCTGATTTAAATAATTGTGTCATTATTTATCTATATACAGAAACAAGAGGTATGAAATTCTTAGTTTCATTGAGTCAGTTGCCTTATTAAAATTATATTTATTTTCAGTCAGCCAATTTTCTAGGCGTTAAAATGTTGTGTGCTAATTTAGAAGGCTCTTCATTAAAAGGTTGTAATTTCGAAGATCCTGCTGGTAGCAGAGCAAATATGGAAGGTATGTCCAGTTAATTGATAGGAGAGAACTCCTTTTGATTATTATCTTGGAATATTGCTTTTATCAAGTATGGATGCTGGGGGGGTCTGGGGGCGGACACAGGTGACCGGCAAATCTGAAGCTGTACAGCCTACAGAAACCTAAATTATGGAAAGGAATAATATGTTTAACAAAAGCTCACCTAATGCTGGATTACATTTTCAGTACAAAATTCTTCTTCAAAATAATTTGAAATGGAGATGAACATTAAGCTTAAGCAAAGTAAGCAAGCTTACTTGACAAGTGGGAGAAATATTTTTTGTTTATATTAAATATTATTGTAGGAGCCCATATGAAAAGTGTTAATTTAGAAGGCAGTCACATGGCAGGTGTTAATTTAAGGGTGGCTACATTAAAAAATGCCAATCTACAAAATTGTGATTTACGAGGAGCAGTTCTAGCTGGGGCTGATTTAGAGGTAAATATATATAATATTCATTGATTGATAGAAATAAGCCTTACTATATTATATACAGCAAACTGAAACTAGAAAATGATTCAAATCAGACTAAGAGCACAACTATCCAGTTTTAATACATTAATAAGAGATGCTAGGTTGAAGAACTTAAGTTTCTGTTATTGTAGTAAATTAGGTGGATTATGAACAAACAGGTTGACTTTTAGCATTCCAGTAGAGTGAGAATGACCTACATATATTAAAGTGGTTTGCTGAACTTTTTAAGTGTATCTGGAGCACTGATAACATTTTAATTTTTAGTCAAACACTAATTGCGATTTTGCACTTTATCATATCAAAATTACAAAAGCTGCTTACAATAACTAGTTAGTTTTAGTGGGTTTACAAGACCCCCACTAAAAATTAGAAAACCTATTTACAATCTCTTTAAATATCCATTTTGGCTAGTAGATCTAAAGATAATTCTTGTTACATTTCATGTTGTTTATCTCAGTGAGCATGCATTGATATAGAAATTATCAATTTATTTTAGAATTGTAATCTATCGGGATGTGATTTACAAGAAGCCAATCTTCGTGGTGCCAATCTAAAAGATGCAGCCTTTGAATTAATGTTAAATCCGGTACACATGGCACAAGCTGTTTGATATAGTGTTAAGTTTTAATATATTCCTCAGGATTACATATCAGTATCAAGAGACATTCTAGCCATACATGACTACTCAGTAGTATCATGGATGTCAAAATAGAACTCTTTTAATGAAGACATTCCATGATATCTTGTTCAACATAAATTTTGAATTATGCAGCACATTTGGCAATATTGATAATGACATTATGCCCATGTTCTCTATGTAGACTCACCAATTTGTTTCCATTTGCAAGTAATCATTTTAAAATCTACATCTTTCAATAAGTTTTTTTCTAAATTCAGCACTTTCCAACAATTTTAAAAGTTAGTGTGCTATATGTCTTCAATGTATTAACATAAATCGGTTAGTTTACTTGTCGAGATGTGCCTATCTGGATATGGTTCAGTATCTTTTATTTTCCTGAAAACTTTCCCAGAAAAATAGTCTCTCTATCCCACCAATATAGAAATGGCAAAGTAGCCCAAGAATCACAAAAAATTTCTGCCAATTTCCATATCCAATACATTTTTATATCACCATTAATTATGTCTAAATCAAGAAGACTTGAATTCTAGAAGTTTGTTTTTGAAATTCACAAATTATAAAAAAAAATAAACCATACAAAAAATTTGTTGATAATGTAGCTATTTGTACATTCTGATAATTTATTTGTTTAATTTTTGTGAGTTATGATAACTAATTAAAATGATAAAAAACATCTAGTATTTCATGTGGTTTTGAGCAAATACATCCAAACTATATACATTATATACATGTTATGAAGTAACAAAAGTAACCCATAATTAGTTATGAGGGCAGTACTGGTGCAGTGTTGATGAGTGATATCCATAGAAAATGAAATGAAATGAATGGAGTTTTACGTCCTACTTTTCTGCACCATGTGGGCTAAGGAAGACGGGCAACGCCATGCATGGTGCAATGAGGGAAATTTTGCCAGGACAGCGGCATTAGCCTGCTCTTTTTTCGATTTCTAACTGTCGAGAGATCTTTAACGTGCACAGCCTGTAGCACACGGGGCCTCAGTTTATTGTCTCATCCGAACGACTAGTGATATCCATAGAGATATATATAGAAATGTTCTATATAAAACTATGGTGGTATCAGATCATGAAGGCTTTATCATCCAGTTTCACTTCTGTCTGGAATCTTTGTTATTAACTGTGTCTACATTGGCCGTTGAATCTTAATGCTTTTATATCAAATGTTGAGCTTGGAAGCGTCATTACACACAATACAAATGCATATCCCTGTCTCAAATATAGATGAAGTCTGGATTTCAGAGACGACTTATCAGATTAAAAACATATGTAGCAATGTGTTTCTTACACTGAAAGACTGGAATGGTATATGAATGCAACAGTAGCTTTATGCTCCTCCATATTTGAACATTCAACAAATTCAATAAATCTGAATGACTAAAATCTTCACAAGTTATTCATTGTCCACAATCCCAAATACTTGTAGCCATTTCCACTAACTGTTGAACTTTTTTACTGTCTGTCACTTTCACAGTAAATTCAGGAGGGGAAAGACTAGCACCCATACTGATTCCTTCTTTCCTATGGTTCATCAATGAACTTGAACTCGATCGTGCAGAACAATGGAATTCTTTGGCACCAGTTTGTAATAAAATTCTATCTATATTATTGGAATTAATTCCTCCACCTTAAAGAAGAAAAATCAGTGAACAAAATAATATAATACACAATATACCTCAGACTAACAACTCTGACAGTACCAGATATTTTACAATGTCCCTGTAGGATGAAGTATATCCATTGACTAGGGCACAGAGACATCATAGAATAGTCTTCATGAACTTCCTAACAGTTCAACTTTTCTACAGCCAAAAGTTATGACAAATTTTGTTTCAGTCCTGGCGAGAATACTTTAAAAAAATTGTGTTGTGAAGTCCAATATTAAGCACTACCTAGAGGCAATAATAAATATTTGTCAAGAAGATAAAAGATAGAAATCTGAATGAGAGACATTGATTTAGTTAATTGAAATATTTCATGAATTATATTCATTCAGATAACATGTGTACAAAGAGTAGCAAATTTACCTAAATATTTCCTTTTATCTCAGTAACACTTTGATGTTTTCACAGTTCTCTCTTTTTATAAAGTGTATTTTAATATATTCTGCACGTTGTCTAGGCACCGAATATGGAAAATGTGTGTCGTGTATATTTTTGCTAATTGTAAATCAGATCGAAAAAGATAAACATTTACTAACCTGGCATCACAATAATTCTTGCAGCAGCCTACAAATAAAGTTATAAATTAGAGGATTGACTGAATTCAAAATGCAGCAACTCTGTGGAGGCGTCAAGCCTCTCTCAAAGGGCTTAGCTGAGGCGTCAAGCCTCTCTCAAAGGGCTTAGCTGAAGGTATTCCCTAGAAATTTTTTGAAAAATTGTATTGATTTGGTCATTGTGGCACATATTTAATGTTTCAATGGAAGACATTCAACAGTTTATTTTGAAAGTTTTTTATTATATATAATTATAAAATTAGTAATCCAAGAGTGCACTACTGAATATGCCAATATGCATCATTTAGTGAAATAATATGGAAAATGAGCACCTTACCTTAGACACCATTTCTCTAATAAGTGGAGCACCATCAAGAGCAGTTTGAGCACCACCACTAGTTAAGACTCTTTCAAATCCTAATTTAATAATATCATCTAGTTCTATCAGTGGTTTCATACACATATCTATAGCTGAAATCATATTTTAATAAACAATTTTAATTAGTAATACTGTAGCTACAATGTATTAGTTGAACCTAATCTGATTTAAATATCATTTTATTTTTTTCCACTTGTCATCTGTGATTTGACTAATTAATATTTAGTTTTAATATATTTAGATTAATATGCAACACCTGTTTTGGGTCATTAAATATTCAAACAATCAAATTGTCTGTTCAATTTCCTTAAAAAATTGGCTTTGTGGGATAATTCATTGCTAAAAGTAATGTTGATGAGAACATTTAATGCTATTGAGTACTCCACAGAACATGACTTATAGAAGAAAAAAGTCATTAATAGTTTAAAGGTTTTAAATAAAGTTGAATGTTTGGCATATATTGAAATCATTAAACTTTCAATTTGAAATAATGGAATTTTTTATTACCTCTATGGAATGTGGCAGGAAATGGACGTATCATACCTGAAAAAATCAGTTACACCTCAATTATTGGTGTTTTGATTGTTTGAAGTTGTAAATTGAAATCAGCTTTTGACCTTCACAATATATACTTTATATTCATAATAGAGTCAAGCCAATTTCATAACTTATTTATGCACATTAGATAACCTCAATAGATATATACATTTCTAATATCATTATGACCCAATAAATATTGATTAAAATCATGACCCTTTCAATTTTATGATATTGTAACAATATGGCATCTTCAATAAACTAAAAAAATAAGCTTACCTAATAATTCAGCACATCTTTCAACATCTACTGTTCCATCACTGAATAATAAAAATGGTAGTTATGCTTGGAAACTTTCCCTCATTGCACACTGCATTGTGTTTCATATCTTAATTAGCTCAATAAAACCCTGATCCATGTTCTTCAAAAAAACTATTGAGAAAAGGATCCAGCACAGTATAATTCTTCATTTTATTGATTTGCATAAGATAAGTTAAAATCTGTTATATGTTTCTCATATAAGAACCTTAATCATTGTAAAAGATGAACATACATTTTTAAAATCCCAAAAACAAATCCATCAGCTTTGACTTTTTTAAACTCAATAATATCTTGTTTCATAACTTCAAATTCATCATCATCATAAAGAAAATCACCACCTCTTGGTCTTATCATGACAAAAACTGGTATTTTAATATTCTGTTTGATTATTTTTAACATTCCTATAATTATATAAAAACAAATTGTGAAAACCCATGCAATCTTATTTTGTATAATGAGTGCAGAATGCTGATAGGCAAAAGATTCAAGAAACAAAGGTGTCTTCAAAAAGATGATATGATATGATATTTTGTTAGTTAGGTCAATCATCAATAAATATCTACAAAACATCTGATAAATATAAAGTTATAATATTTACATAGCAAACTTTTAGATGCATATTACACATAAGGAAGTTTGGGTTTTGAATTTGCTTTTACATTTACTAGCCAGTTTTCCAATGCATTTTTTTGTTGAAATCTGATGTCTCAACTTTTTGCGATTCATCTCAAGACTCGTAGATTGTTAACACTCTCATGATCTATCTGCATTAAAAAATGTTTGCGAATTAATACTTGTATGCTGTATGTATAACATCCATTTACATTTTGATATATTATGAGAGTATAATAATAAATATTACCTAAGGTTGGTGTTGTACCACCTTCCATAAGATTAGCACAAAGTTCAACTTTTTCGGCACCTAGATTATTCAAAATAAAAGAAATCTTTTATAATGGTCATACAAGTATATTGGATGTAATTGATGTAAAGTGACATTCAATAGACATTAGCTTTCATGAAATACCAATCATGATTGAAAATCTTATTTTTTGAACATGTCAGCTTTAATATTATTAGTATTTTGCAGGCAGGCTACATCAATAGGCCTACAGTTGAAGATATCTCTTTCCGTTTGGTAGAAAAACCCACCTCCAAGTTCTGCATTTCTAGCTGATGCAACAGAATCTATGCAAACTTCCATTGTTGCTTTTTTGAGGTTTTGTTTTACTTCAAAACATTGTAAGCAGGTCCATGATGTGTTTTCAAATGCGTCCCGGAAAAAGGAAACTCCCAAAACTGCGCATGCTTGAACTTTGACCTCCAAAGGGATTCCCCCGTAGTGTGTTGCATAAAGCACGAAGAATGAAGCATTAAATGAAGATTGTTTTATAACTTGTTTACTTCAAATTCCTTGAATTGTCAGAGTGTGTCTAGAAATTGAAATCATGTATTACTTATCTTCAAGTCTGTTTAAAAATCTTAGTCAGAAAACTGGAACTTCTGCATTTTTTAATTATCAAAGATCTTTTCACCAGTTTACAAACAAAACAAGAAGAGTCTTGGTAGGTATGCTTTGCCATTTAACCTGTGTTGTGGTTCAATTTGAAATGTGCGATTCATGAAAGTGTTTTGATTTTGATGTAATGATCATCTCTTGGTAATATTAAATGTTTATTCGGCTATTGCATCATTCCTTCCATTTGTCCTATATGTCATGTTCAAAGTCAATAAACCCATTAAACCCTAGGCCTAAATCTGCACATACTCCTATATTAAGCTGAACTTATATTTTAGTTCTATGTTGAAATTATAAAGTAACCATAGTATCCTAGATCCCAAAAGTGTCCATTTAGTATTGTATTATCAATACGAATCACCCATTTAACTAATTTTTTTCAGAATAAATGTCCAAATTGTAACCAACCAGCAAGATTGAGTATTTCTAAAAGAATATTTACTAACCATGTCAAAAACTTTAAAACACTGCAAAGGGTAAGTGTTATTAACATATAAAAGGATGACTAGAGAGACTGTTAAAAGTTTATTTGAAATAAACTTTTTTAGCATACCTACGCTTATGTGTGTAAGAATCACCTCTAGCTTCTGACGTCGTGACGTCTATAGTTTTTTTCATTTCAGAAAAATCTGTGATGACTGAGTGAGTTAGATGCTTGTTCGCTAACCTGAAGGTCCAGGTTATAACCTCAGCATTGGTCTCTATAATACCTTCAGATTTTTCAACCTGGTTTCCCCCTGTCAGTGATGCAGACTGAAGGGAAAAAGCATCCAGATGGAACAAAAACCGAGGCCCTTTATGCTGCAAGCTGTGCATGTTAAAGGTCCCTTTTTAAAAGAACATTTGTAATTGAAAAAGAGTAGGATAATGCCTCTGTTCTGAAAAATATTCCTCATTGCACACTGCATGGCATTGCCTGCTTCATTAGCCCAATTAAGTGCAGAAGAATAAGAAGTAAAACTCCATTCATTTCCTTTTTTTTTTTTTTTATGTATTACCTTACTAGGAACTCTTGTGTAGGAATTCTGTTATATTTTTCCTTTTAGTGTATGCATTTGAAATTCTGCCAATATCTACTATTTCAGCCATCCAAATTATCTGAAATATTCCAAACATTCAGAAATAAATCTAGCAGTGGAAAGATAACACCAGAGATTCCACGCCATGCTGAGAAAATAGTGGGTGGATGGCTGATAGGATGTGCTGGTATGGTATTTGGGGCTGTTATACTTGGGGGTGTTACAAGGTAGGTTGCTTCTTGATCTATCAAGCCTGTAAATCAACATCTAGTTCTTAGTGCAGCAATCCAGTTTTGTTTTATTATTTAGGTCTGTGTGTGCTAAAAATTGATTGAATCTCATTGGTGGAGAAATAAAGTCAAAACCAACCGAATTTAGTGACAAAAATATTCTGGTGATGTATAAGCACCCAAATGACCCAATCCTCAAAAGAATCCCTACTTTTTTTTTTATCCAAACCGAAAGTCTGACCATCATATTTGAAGCTTTGATTTGCTGTGAAATGTAGGAAAGGGAAATGTGGTATGTATGGCATATAAATTTCCAGATACTTTCAGATTAACAGAATCAGGACTTTCCATGGTAGATTGGAGATTAATTAAAGATATGAAAGCACCCAGTTCACAAGCTGAATGGCAAGCAGAGTTTGAGAAATATAAACAGTATCCAGAATATAAATAGTAAGTGTTTTGATGGCTTGATTCAGACTGTATTTTATATGGTCACTTTTAACAGAATTTAAAACAACTCACTATGGTAGATTATCACTTGAGAACGTTACCTGTATGTGTAATAAAACGTGTTCAAAAGGAATAATTAGAAGTCTATATCCATAACAATTGTTGTTTCTTTACTCACTATCATTAATAAAACAATCCAGAAATTTGATATCAAGGCTGATTCAAGATATATCGTTTGAGGCAAATAGAAAGTAATTATCACTATAAGTCAAACTTCATGTGAGCTTGTTAGGTTAGGGATGTGAATATTTGTTCTATTTACAGTGTCACTCAACATGAAGAAATGACATTAAGTAGATTTAAATTCATTTGGTATATGGAATATTCACATAGAATGTGGGGTCGAGCTGTTGGCCTGGTGTTTCTGATTCCTGCATTAGTATTTCTTAAGAAAGGCTGGATAACAAAAGCTATGAAGCCAAGATTAGCCATATATACTGCATTGATTGGATTTCAGGTATTCATTTCATTTTTCAGTAGATATAATAAGATCATTGATGAAAAAACATGCATTGTCGATTTTCCTGCATGTCTTGATGCAGATTTGAATAATTTTCATAATGGTTAATCCAAGAATTGATATCTCTTAGAACAATACAAAAAATCATACTTGAAAAAGTCGATGATTTATGGTCCTTAGTTAAAATTGGGTACCTTTTAGAAAATGAGATTCCTTACACAAAATAATGATGTCAGAAACATATATAATGTCTAGCTTTAATTGTGTCTACTATTAACAGTGTGTTATTGAAATGTTTTGGACTATTTTCAGGGCTTTCTAGGGTGGTATATGGTTAAAAGTGGACTAGTAGATAAGCCAGAATCAACAGACATTCCAAGAGTTAGCCAGTACCGTTTAGCTTCTCATCTGGGTTCAGCTTTTATTCTATATACATTATTTTTATATGCTGGACTCAGCCATTTAAATAAACCTGTTCCAGTATGTATAATTTTATCTCTAAACTTTATACTTAGACTTTGTACAGGTTTAAAGACGTGATCTTAATATGCTATGCAGACTGTTTTAAAGAAGATATGAGATGAAATTGTTTTTGACAGAGAAGAAGCACATAAATTTTATGTTATGATACATCACACATTCATATTGATATGTCCAGAAATAAAGGTTAAGTGTTCAATAACTTGATACAGTCCATCTTGTTGCTGTGGTCAGACTTGTGTTAACTGAAGAATTCAAAATGAAGATTTTCCTTGTTTATTTGAAGATTTTCCATGTGTACATTTAAATGGTCGTTTTTTTATTTGAAGTAGAGTTTAAAATAAAAATTATAATTTTTACAGATACCAAACTCACCACAAATAAGAAAGATTCGAATCTTAACACATGGTGTGTTAACTTTAGTGTTTGTGACTGCTTTATCAGGTACAGTAAATTTTGTCACATAATTTTTAAAAGTCCAAGATACACAATGGTGTTACAAACATGATAAAACTATGGTGACAAGCATCCTTGCTTTAGATTTTCAACAGCTTTCAAAGAGACTGGCATTTAAATCTTGGACAATTACTAAAGCCTTAAAGGGACAGGTGTGCCATTTTGGGGGGTTGATTTAAGTCTTGAAAATATGTCTTCAGAAGTACTAGACATAATTCCTTCATAAATATCTCGAACTATTTATATATACATGTCTTTTCTATATATCACATTAAAAGTTTTTTTATTTATTTTTTTGCAATTTGTAATAAGAAGATACGTCTATGCTATATTTATGCATAGTTCCCTCTGAGCCATGCCGATATTCCGATATCTTAAACGGATAATGTTGGACACACATGGATTTGAAGGCTCAAATTTGGACAGTGAGCTGTGAACACTATTGCTGATTGGCATAGTTAAAATATTCCTGTTTCTGAGACTAAAGTATGATTGATTAAATAGAATGACCAACCTGTCCCTTTAACAAAAACAAATTATAATTTTCTTTATTTCAGGTGCATTTGTAGCAGGTTTGGATGCTGGTCTTGTGTACAATTCTTGGCCAAAAATGGCGGATAAATGGATTCCAGAAGATATTGCTAAGTTTGTACCTAAATGGAAGAATGTATTTGAGAATCCCACTACAGTTCAGTTTAATCACAGACATCTGGTAATCGATTTATATTGATAATGAAATGTAGACTTCTATTGATGCATGACAGCTTTTAAACAATAATCTGGGAAAGGTTCAAATCTCTGGTCAGATATCTGATGATGGAAGAGATCCTTGCTATGTCATCACCCTTTATGTATTGCATTTTTTTTTTTTAATCTTTAACTTCTGATATTTTTCAGCATTATATACTTTGGCACAACATAACTTAATAAGGCCATCCAAATGAGATTAAATCGTTTTACATATTGACTCTTAAACACTCTAGAAGGCACAATTCTGGTGATTGTTGCTGTACTGCCAAATATTTTTTATTAAAGATCAAAGCTGCCTGTGGCCATATATTACCTTGAATGGCAAAGTTGTATGTGATATTTAAAGTTGTATGTGATATTAAAAGTTGTATGTGATATTAAAAGTTGTATGTGATATTAAAAGTTGTATGTGATATTTAAAGTTGTATGTGATATTTGTGTTGTAGGCAGAATCAACTGTAGCAGTGATCACAGGTTTCTGGTGGATGTGTCGAAAAGCACCCTTACCACCAAGAGCTAGAATAGCAGTCAATTGTTTAGTGGGAATGGCTTTCATTCAGGTATTTCTTTATTTTGAATTATAATAGTCTGGGTTTTTCTTTCAACAGGGACTGGGATATTTCATCTTAAGTCTGAAACTGGCTTCAGATAATTGTTGAATTTTCATGAAAATATATTTCATAGTGCAAATATTTGTATAATTTTTACCAGCTGATATGCACTATGAAATTTCAACTCCTTCTGTGGATTTGTTCTCCGAGACATATTCCTGTAATTTTATATTCTTGGATTTCTATTTGATTATCTAATTTGCATGTAGAATAGCTGTCTGAGGAAAAATTTTAGCTTTGCTAATAATAATTTCACATCTGGGACTGCTTTAAGAAACTGTTTATTAGGCATCTGTTATATTTTTTTGCAGGCCACGCTAGGTATTACCACTTTGCTGATGTATGTACCTACACACTTAGCTGCTACTCATCAATCAGGATCTCTTGTTCTGCTTAGTTTTGCTGTTTGGTTAGCCAATGAATTGAGGAAAATGCCTAAATAAGCAATAGAGGGAAATTATTTTGTAGTATAATAGGAAGCTTATTGTTTCTAAAGATATAACAATTTTTTATAAGAATATATGAAATACTTCAGCATTGCGACCAGTGTCCAGGTTAAATCTTTTTGAAGTATAAATCAATAATTTGATGGAGAAATATATAAATGCTCATTACAGATGTTGTATCCTGTCATTCATAGTAATTTGTATTATTATTTATATTTTGCTAATATATTCTATCTGTTTTCTCTAAAATTCATTATTATTTGTATGACTTTTTATTCTATCAATAGCAAACAGAAAGCTTTACCAGCATTTAATTTCACTTTGATGCTGTATTTACCAGGCTGATCTTAAACTATAACAGTAACAAAATTTGTTTTATCTTGAATAAGATTTTCTGAGAAAAAGGACCCAGTACATTATCATGACAAAAGAAAATTGCTCCATGTTCAGTTCTTTGTATCCTTAAACATCCATGTCAGAACTTTGGCATGTTGCTTATTTTAATGGTTTGCCATTTTGAGGTGTTGCTTTGGGTCTTGAATATTTGTAAATAGTCTTCAGAAGTACATATGTACAAGAAATTCACATAATTCCTTCAAAAATACTATTGAAATTTCATTTTTATACGCCCACATGGAAATTTAATCATTTATATTGATGAGATCTTGGTCAGATTCGAAATTTGACGATCTTGCGATGAACGGTTTTTGAGTTATTGCCCTTCATTTGGGCAAAACGCGTCAAAATTTGTTTGTCAACACAATAGAGACTACAATTTTCAACTGATTTTAATGAAATTTTGTGTGATCATTTATATTGATGAGATCTTGGTCAAGTTCAAATTTGACGTTCTTTCGGTGAAAGAAACGCGTCAAAATTTGTTTGTGAACACATTAGAGATTACAGTTTTCAATTGATTTTAATGAAATATAGTGTGATCATGTATATTGATGAGATAATTTGATGTATTTGGGTTATGTATTGATATTAATATTCAATTTCTTTAATATGAGAAAATTCATACTTTAGTCACTAAAGATTGTTTTATCATTTCTAACAGCTGCCAGTGGGCATATGTTACCTTGCCTGGAAAGCTATCTTCTATTTCTATATAAGACAGAATCTAAAAAAGAAAGGAGTATATTTTTATTGTTACAGTCTGAGGTATGATGTACATTTTGTAATGCATCCATCCGTCAAGTTAAAAAATCAAGGATAATTTTAAGCAATCACATTTTATTTCATGCCGAGTCATTTGCAAGAACAGTTGAGATGTTGGCTTCTTTAAACCCTCTATGGTCACTTTCCCCAGCTAATTTGTGTTTAAGTTCCCAACCAAGGCATAAAATTATAAAATAGACAGTGGCTTGAACCCTTTATCAGATCACATCACAGTTTTACCAATTCCATTGGAACATAACTAAAGTTTAAATGGGAGACAATTTTTGAGAAAAAAACACAACTATTTGAGAAATATATTACATATAATATACAAAAATTAATTGAAGCAATATACACACTTTACAAACAATAAACTGAGTTAGGAAATAAATACTGAATTGTCAAAATAATTAGTAAATAAAGAGTTTCACATATAATATGTATAATATGTAATAATTTGAGATCCAAATCAGGACTGATTCCACCAGAAAGGATCTTGTTTCCTTTTGATTACTACCTTCAATCACAACATGAACCTAACAAGAATGTTTGTAACACTGCACATCACAACCATGAACCTATTCAGCAGCGATTCACATGGCTTCTTCACATTCAAGCACAAGAACCTGGCTCATATACTACCTATCACACCTAGCAACCTAACAAGCATAGCTTTAACACTGTCCATCACAACATGAATCTAACTAGTATGGCTTCAACACTGTCATCACAACCATGAACTTAACCAGCATGGCTTCAACAATGTTCATCAAAATCCTCAAATAACTTTCTTACATTTCTATGCAGTCTTATAACAACCGAGATGAATCATATTATCCTTTAGGGCTATCTATTGGGATCAAGATAAGCCAGTCGCTTTGAAGTTGTCTTGTGGCTGTCAATCATGACCTACCTCCGTCAAAAACAAATTAATGAAAAGGAATTCTTTCATAATCTGGTCACCATTGCATATGACAGTGAATTGTGTATAACACTACATATGTCTACAATAAGACAGTCATCAGGGTTAACTAGTCAGTCAAATTGAAATACATAATTAGGTATGGATCTAGTCAATCAACATTGAAACTGAGAGGAATTAATATCTCATTCAATCTATCAAATAACTTATCAATGATCTTTGCTGTGAGTATGAGATTTTCATTAATTGAATAAAATCTGGAAAAGAAAGAAGTAAATGTTCTGGATTTGACATTGTTAGAAAATTCTTTTCTGAGTCGATTGATCACAGTTTGAATAACATACATATATATTTATTCTTTATGAAGTTGAATAGAAATCTAGACAAATCAACTATTTGAACAAGAACAGAACAGAACATAACATTAGTAATACTTCAAAAGTAACATAAACAGAAGATGTGAACATAAGAATTATAAAAATATAAAAAAGTAACATGAATTTCACGCATATAAAATATATCACCTACTCTAATTGTTAGGTTTTAACAACTAGAGTAGAACCAAATATTTTGTGTACATTCAAACACTCAATCTGATTAAAACAAATCCTTTTTTTAAGTTTCCTATCCAACTATTCTTAATGATGGTAGCCCACAATGTGAATTTGTATAAAAAAAATGTTGTCTTACTATCGAGAGTGGCTATTTCAGTACCGTATATAAATATAATATGAGGTTACCAAAATGGAAAAAAGAAGTATGGAGGTATATAATTTAATCAGATTGAAAACTATATAATCTTTGAACTCAAACAGTTATATTACCAAATTTTCTTTCAGGTAAAAATTTGTGGTTCAATGTCCACTCTTGTAACCACTAGAATTTTGTACAAAAATAATATAAAAACCACAAAATTACCAAATTCAGATCAAAATTCAGAATAGATTTTCAAAATTAAAAAAAAAATGTTATTACGAGCAAATATTATAAAGTATATTTCAAGTACACTTGTATAACCTGTTAACGATTTACATACTTTATTTTAAAGTTATAAATTATCTGTGTATAATATAATATTAAATAAGGCACAACAATATACAGCATTAGTAAAAAAGATATTTATAGTTTTGGGTTTTGTCCCCAGTAAACCATTATCATGGAAAAAGAAAAGGCCAAAGTAAAACCAGTCCTAGTTCAACTAAGAACTAGTTTTTTAAGCAAATACCATATTACAACTCATGTATGTATGAGATTCAAAAGAAAAGTAAGTAATTCCCATGATTTTTAAAATGCAAATAAATTTTTAAAAAATCAATCAGAATGTCTTATTTTATAATTAATATATGTTAATAAATTCATAAAAAGTTAATATTAGTAATAATTAAGAATATATATTTTGAGGTATTGAGATTCAAACTCTTATAATTTTTCCAATTCAAAATTTTGTATTTGGTATGTAATAGGTTATATTGTAATACTGTGATCTTCAAATATCAAGTTTGTATTAGAGTCATCTCCCTTGGAAGAAAAGTTGAAGCTGCCTGAATAATAATGAAAATTTGACTTGTCACAAGTATGCTCTTATCTAAATCTGGAACATTATGGATTTCTATTGTATTGGAAAGAAAAAATATAAATTATTTAGGTCAATTATTGTCGGGACTTTTCTAATAGTCTCTATCCACAAATTAATATTAATAATAAGATATGATTATATAGAAAAAGTTTTATCAAAAGCATTAATATAGTTCAAATCTATTTTAGTAATTGTTTCATTTCTTTCTGTATGGTGTATAGCAAATTGAAAGTGTACAAGAATATAGAGATACTAAAAGGGAAATTAAATAACCAACGGATCATCATCATCAGAAATCAAAGCGTGTCTATCATAATACTGACTTTGTTTTCTTCTGATTGCTAAATAAATAACAACACCAATGATTACTAATACTACAACAGCAGATACACAGCCAGCAATAATAGCGGTACCTGAAACAACAACAAAATCAGTATGTATCCTTAATAGTATGTTAATTTAAAGACTTGCTGTTCTGAAGATTATTTTCTTATAAGGTTAAATAGCTTTGTCAGACAGACAGTCATTAAGTTTCAAAAATTACATCTGCCATGTTATCCTAAACTTGTAGAGCAAGGATATTTAAAGAAGAAAACTTACTGTTGGTAGAAGATTGTGCAGTATTAGCCAGAGGAGCATGTGTTATTGGTGTTGTTATTGGTGATATCATAGTTGTAATTGTTGTCACAATATCTGTATGTACAAAGAATTTTTTTAGACAAGTAATATGGAGTTTTACACAAAAAATACATTTTTCAGTACCAATTTACCAATGTATTAAGAATCCGAGTCAAGTCCTTGGAGAATAGAAAAGGGAATACCTTACCTATATCTTGGTGAACACAAATTTGTCTTATAGTATTATAACTATGACCATCAATGCAATCACAAACTCCATTCTTATCACACATCTCATTGGGACCACATTCATTCATCATATCTATATCACATTTCTCTCCCAGTTGGTTCAGCGAGACACAGGCTCCTATTTTGGCATCATAGAGGAAGTCTGGCGTACATTGACAAAGTTTGGTTTCTATATTACAACCTTCACCATTAGAGCAAATAATCATATCAGAACATGTCTTGTTTAAAGTTGCTGGAATGAAAAAAAGAAATTTTAAATTTGTATAATAATAGTTGCATTATATTTCTGTAAAAAAAAAATGTTTTAAATCATTACAAATTATCAAACTCAAACTTCCTTTTATGATTATATACCTCCATTACCAAGATTAATCTAAATCAGTTTAAAAGGACAGGTTTGCCAATTGTTTAACCAAACCTTAGTGTCAGAAACAAGAATTTTCCAGCTAATCTAATCAGTAATAGTGTTACAGCTAACTGTCAAATCCATGTGTGCCCAGAATTATCCACATTTGATAGTGAAAAAGACTAGTCGTACAGGTATATAGAAAATGGCAAATCTGCCCCCATATAACTGTAGATAATACAGCATTTGGGAAGAATTGTCTACACTTAAACTTTCAGTAAATAGTATCAAACTAAACAAAGATAATCATTTCCATCCTGATACTTTTCAAAGAATAGCACAAACAGTCGGCATTACTGAGGTCATGGAAATAGTCATCTTTTAAATACATAAGCTTACTTTCAATAATAGCTAATAGAGCTTCGGACATAAAGATTTGAATGCATTTAGCTGAAAATGTGATCTTTCAGGTTATTATTTTGTAAAGAAAATATTTAGATGACTATATCCTTTGACATGGTGATAGAACACAATAAAATGTAGTTCTGGCATGCATTATGCATAGTTTCACTAAGTCAACTACCTCAAATAGCAGGAATCTTAACTTTCTAGGATATAATTACTCTAAGATCAATTCAAGAATTTTAAGTGACCTGCTGTTGTCAAAAACTACACAAATATACATGCATGAATAATAATAAGCAACTCCAGTAAAACATGCCGTAAACTATAAGCATAACAAAATAAAAACGCTTACATGATGCTTTAGTATGACTAGGCATGGTGGGTCTAATAGAAACACTTGTAATGGGGGTAGATCCTTAAAATAAATTTATTCTAGTTAACTAAGGGTGGTTCTAAAGATATTAATGTAATTAAGATATATCTGGCCCAAAACAGGAGAGAGAGAGAGAGTGAGAGAGGATGTGTTGTGGCAATTCTTTGCTGTATAATATAGTGTTAGATGATAAAGTGTGAAGATCAGATCACAGATAATAGTTAGTAAGATATGCTTTGAAATATAGATACATTTAGCTTTTGAATTTCCAAAATGTTCACAGATTTGGTCTGGCAGCAAACTTGTTAAAACTTGATATCAACAGTTACATAATACATGCAAACACACATGACAGCATGTCCTCTTCATAGCTAGATGCTGAAATCTAACTTAAGCTTATGAGATCACACATGACAAGATCAGCTAAATGAAAAAGAACAAATACTTACCAGACTTCTCTGTTGGCTTACTGTGAGTTGGTGGTGCTTCAGATGATGATGGTTGCCTCCAATGTGGTGGTTGACATGTTCCTAATGTAATTGAAGGTGCAGTGGCTAATACCTTACTTTCACAAGGTGGTACTGGGATGTTTTCTTTAGGTACCAATGTCCTTTGCAGATCTCTTGGCCAAAACTCTAGTCCAACAGTCGTAGATATTCTTACTTTAACTGACATCTGTATGAAATACAAAATGACAAATATGTTCTTACTAATCAGCATGGTTCTATAAGTTTGTGACAAATAATCCAAAAAATTTACAATATAACTGAATCAATAATATTCAATTATTCATGCAACCATGTTATAAATATTTGCTTACTACCCTATATGTATCACTCTTTGAAATGAAAATTATCTGGCTTTGTGTAGAATTAGATCAGTAGACTAACAAAACAGATCTTTTTTAACATTTTCCAATGGAGAGATACCTATGATGCCACAATTGTAATATTAATCAATGTCATTATTTCCTCAAAGCAGCAACAGCTATCACTCTAGCCCGTTAACTTTTTTTTGACATTGTTTTGGATATTGAACTATAACGCTATATAAGAATAATTGTGATAAATACTTACACCAAATTCTACATGATGTGGAGATATTTTCACCATATGAAAATTAAGAAAGACATCAGCTGTACCAAGGGGTGATTCTTTAAAACTTCCTCCTGTTCACAAGAACAATAGATTCAATAATAACCCTCAAAAATTTCATATTGCTATTTGGTATACAAAGAATTATTAACAAAAATTAAGGGAAAAAAACTGTTCAAAAATTTGCTACAATTAACCAAAGGTCATTGGTAATATCTAAGCTTAGCACTTAGTCCTTGAAGTGACGATAGTCTAAATTTATGTATTTGTTGAATTGTAGAAGAAATATGTTGGATTTTATTATGGAATGTACTATAAGCTTATATATCTGAAATTGAGGTCTATCAGCTCATTATGCAATTGTAACCCTTTAAACCATGAATACTCATTAAAAATAGTACTAAATTTTTATTAAATTACCTGGAATTTTCATCATTTCATCATGTTGGACTCTTTGTTGGAAAGAAACACTTTGATGTGGCATTTGTAGATAAATATCAAGAGTAATAGGCTCAACACAATGATTAAGAACTATACCAAAACAATAATCTACTTCAACATCTGAACTAGAGGGTATAAACGTCTGAAAAAATAAGACAGTAATAGACATAAAATTACTTTGAGTTTATGCTTATGGCTTGCCATAGAGAATTATCCTTGTTTTATAAAATTTATTTTCTTATAACTTTTTTTCACCATAACATTCAAATTGTGATAGAAAACCATTATTTATTTTACCAATAGACTAAACAATATAAACTAAAGTTAACACTTTTACTACCTGATATTTGTATGTTCCTGTACAATCTAATTTAGTACAAACATCTGCAGAGCTGGTACCATTTGAAGTACAATGCATCTGTGATCTAGTCTGTGCAGACATCTGATGGGCCACATTTTGCCAGAATTGACAGGCTTCATGTTCAGTAGGAACAATATCTTCACCACTAACTGTTAATATCAGTATTACAAGAAATGCTGAAATATTCACAACATATCTTTTATCAATTTGCCATTATTACATTAGGCTACCACAAGCCACAACACACAAAAATTTGACGTAGTAGTATATTATAAGTCCTATAGACCTACAAATGAAAAGGCATTGAGGGGAAAAGTCCCATTGGTAGTGGATTAGTTCTAGGCCTACTGTAGTCCATTGGAGCAATTTTAGACAATCAACATCATTACATGATTTTTAAAATCACCTCTTAATGGATTCATAATAATAATAGAAATATAAACATAAACTTGAAATAGAAAATCACAAATGAAATAGGACAGTCATTGCTTTGACTGAATGTTGAAATCTCGTGATTATTCAGAGACTCCGTATCAAAATACAAATATTAAAATGCAAAGATAAGCATAAATACAAATAAATATACATAGAACATTAGGCGAACACAAAACAATGAGGAACCTACATAAGAAAACACAGTTAGACTGTGATATTGTTGTTGTTTTCATCGCCATTTTGTTGTTCTTTTACGTAGAAAAGTTCTTGTAAGAAGTTGATTGGTTGAAAACCTCAAGTCCGTTTACTTCGTATTTTTCCGGAAATCTCCGAAGACCAGGCAATCTCCCAGCAAAGAAGTTGCAAAGGTATTTTGAGCCTTGTAATCATGAAAATATCCATTTCGAACTGTTGTCATTAAATTTCAAGGGTAAAGAATTGTTGGTTATGGAGGAGGGCTTTAAAGATACATGTTAGTTATATTGACAGGTCTTAAACTGTTACCAGTTTCATCAAGCCTTACTCAGCTGATAATTTTTCGAAGTTCATGGAAAACTTAAAGCTACCATAGTCTAAATGGGGGAAATCAAATCACAATCAGTAAATTAGGATAAGGTTTTATTGTATTCTTTCTTACATGCAATCAACAAAATTGAGTATGAATTGAGGTATGAATTCTGTTGTAACTTTATGACACCAGGTAAGTTCACTGATGTATACATACTCATATTGACCATTCTTGAGAATTAAATTTTATGTTCATTCTAAGACGTAGTATCACTTTAGCTATAGGCCCTATAAGCATATCATTCAATATCTGTCAAAATGATTTGAAAAGTCATGATTTGTATTGGCTAGTTCAGCTTTTATAATTCGCGAATCGCCAACCAGACCATAAGCCCTGCCTATTAAGGCACGTGACGAAGACGACCGGAGGTTAGACAAACAATGTCGCATCAAGGCGTCTTTAACGTTATAGTGCAAGTGCTGTCCATAATAAAATTTATTCGTCCGGGTTTGTCTTTGGTTTGCTTTGTCTTCTATGCTGTATTTTGAGCGATGGCAAGTCTGATTCCACTAGCAAATGAAATGATTAAGAGTATTACGTTCTACTTTTTGTACAATGTTGGCAATGAAGGCAGGATTCGCCTAGATTTACCGTCTGATATTAGGCTATCAGAAGCCACACATTTCACTGATAAAAAAAGCAGTCAAATATTTCAGTGAAGATTATTCTATTCCATCAAATGTTTTCGAAAGTCTGATCTCGGCGATAAAGTACTGGTATTTGAAATTAGCTCCAAATGTCATAAAAGTAGGTCAATGAGAAAAAAAACGAACACCTTCATTCCATCAACATCGACATTTCTATCGAACGAGTCAACATATCATTATTATTTAGGCTAGGCTTAGACTTTTAAGCTTTTTAAGCTTTCTAGGCCCAGAGCACACCATCAATTAATCACATGTATTTATTTTGACGATTTCTCTTTTTTTCATGTTATTTCAGGTGAATAAAGCGGATGCGTCAAAATTAATAGGCCTATACTATATGTGCCTAATAATTAATAAAAAAAATGTGCCCAAATCTCTCTGTCTAAACTAATATATGAGTAATTGAAGATGTGCCTGATTAATGTCTGTCTAAATGACCGAGTGCCTAGGAAAAGTATGCCTAATGTACTGTGTCTATTTAACTACCAGGTATAAATATAAGCTCGGGGCCCTAACTTATTTGTTGAAATGGACAGTGAATCATTTTAGGCCTAGGCTAGGCTATGGCAATTGGCTTACATTTTATTTTTATATATTTCTTAGTTCAAGTGCATGCAGGTCCTATATTGATGGCCTTCTGCTTGCTCTTCAAATTTAGTTGTTTTAATAAGGGTTTCACTAGACCTACCCGATGAACTGACATGTATGCACAAGTCTGTCACAACAGGGTACTAGTTAGGTTATTCCTAGAGATCTTAATCCATCAAAGTCAATTTTATAAACTGGCTGGTTTTGGGTTTAGGAAATAGCAGAAAAGTCACGCTTTGCGTATCCGATCTTTATAGAAATCATCGCTGTCGCAAATTCCATAAAGGCATCTTTTCACCATAACTGAAATCCCTGAAAATTGTAACAAAATAACGGCAATAGTCAGACTGTCTAACCTTCATCCACGTGTTTGAGGTGACGTCACCTAGATGTATGAGGCAAAGACGTTGATTGGCTAGTGTCAATATAAGGGGCGTGGTTATTCATCAATTTGGTTATTTCTCCTTCTTTTTTAATTTTTTTTAGGTGTCAGTATATCTGAAAGTGAAGTTTGTAAATTATAATTTTAAATGTTGAATTTTACTACCCTGTTCAAGTGTAATATTGTGCAACAGTGTAAACATTTAATAAGAAATATGTCTTGTACTTCTACAACTGTCAAATATCTTCGGTAAGTTACTTTTTTCCCCTCAAAATCCATTAACAACATCATCATCATTTACGCCACTGACCATTAAAAATATATGTTGTTCTTTATTTTGTGGCAATCAATGCTAGTTTAAGATTATTCTAATTTATTTATTGCTCATTAATGATCAGTAGCAAACTCCATATCTAGTCATTATCTAAATTGTCTAAACTTTTATTTCTTCTAAATCTTCTGTTTGGACAATAGATCATTAAATTGATATAAATAATTAACCGTAATCTAGTCCAAATATTATATTTTTGAATTTTTTGTTAAAATGTCATAATCTGTATTTGTTTACATTCAAATAATAGAATATTATAAAAGCTGTGATAACAGAGTGTTTCTTTGCCTTTAATTGTAAATTAATTGTATTCTGTAGCCTTACATATAACATTTGTCTCCCTTTAATTCCTTCAGTAAATAGTGTTTCTGTAACTGCTAAAAAAAAATCCCACACACTCAGTTACCATTACTACACTTTAGAAAACATATCTAGTTGCCATGATTACACATCTATCAGAATACCTAGCCAGTTTCCATGCTTACACACCCACCAGAATACCTACTCAGTTTCCATGCTTACACACCCACCAGAATACCTACCCAGTTTCCATGCTAACACCTACAAGAATACCTACCCAGTTTCCATGCTTACACACCCACTAGAATACATACCCAGTTTCCATGCTTACACACCTACCAGAATACCTACCCAGTTTCCATGCTTACACACCCACCAGAATACCTACCCAGTTTCCATGCTTATACACCCAATAGAATACATACCTAGTTCCATGCTTACACACCCACTAGAATACATGCCCAGTTTGCATGCTTACACACCCACAAGAATACATATCCAGTTTCAATGCATACACACCCTCCAGAATACATACCCAGTTTCCATGCTTACACACCCACCAGAATACATACCCAGTTTCCATGCTTACACATCCTCCAGAATACCAGCTCTATCGCCAGGAAGGAATTGGTGCTGGGGCTCAGATTTTGTACTTTTGAAGAATTAAAGGCCCGAGAAGTCATTTCTGACAATATATCTAAATCTTTTTCAATTTTGTACAAAGCCACTGTAAATGAATCAATCTCTCCTGTACTGAAGAAGGTTTTGCTAGGGCTTATTAATCAGTTGCCATGATTACACCCACCCTCCAGAATACAAACCCAGTTTTCGTACATCTCCGCAATTGCACATAAACACTCTAGAAGGTACAATTTTTAACTGATTTTGACAAAACGGTATGATTATTTGTAAACACTCAAGGTTAAACCCTATTGAAAATCAAAAAAATCGAAAATGACTAGGATGAGTTATTGCCCTTGTTCTTGATAATACGTTCGAATTAAACTCAAAAAACACATTAGAAGGCATGATTCTTGCCTGATTTTGACTAAACTTTGTAATATGATTCAGTATCGCCTCAAAAATTCAAAAGAAGTATATTACTGAAGGTTGAATATTTCATACTGGTGATTGTTACTGTACTGCTAAATATTTTTATTCAAAATCAAAGCTGCAAGTGGGTGTAATTACCTTGCCTGGCACAATAGGGTTCAATATAGATTGAAAATTTTCATTAGCAATTTATCACAACAAGTTTCAGTAGTGGCCTTTTCAAGATAAATTTAGATTCACATTTTTGAGCTCTATTACGCAAGCAAATTTCAAACAATGATATCCTTTAAAAGGCATTGAAAATATGTGGCAGTTATATAATCTGCTTCCTTTTATATTGTCAGTTAGTATATAAATTAATATTTATTATTAAGACATTATATAAAAAAATTGATTATTTATTTATTAATATAGTATTATTTCTTCCAGACAGTTGCTTACACATTACAGATTTATGGCCCACAAATGCAATATAATATATATTTAATTATATTATAATTAAGTTACGTTAAGTTGTCTTAATAACTGTACACAAGAGAGATATCAAACTGGTCACCCTGCCACAAAATTTTTAAGAAATGATTGATATCTAACTTTATCAATTTTAATATTGTGTGATCAATTTCTTTCTGGCGTTATGATTCCGTCATTTAGCCTGACTTTGAACCCTGAGTGTAAATAAAATTAAATATCACATACCCTGAAGTAATACAAGTAAAAGAGTATGATGTTAACATTGCGTGACGTCACTTAATAACGGTTGGTTTACCAGCTGCTAGGGTATATATTGTGTAATTGTGTGCCCAGTGAACAGGCTGCTAGGGTATATATTGTGTGCCCAGTGAACAGGCTGCTAGGGTATATATTGTGTAATTGTGTGCCCAGTGAACAGGCTGCTAGGGTATATTGTGTAATTGTGTGCCCAGTGAACAGGCTGCTAGGGTATATATTGTGTAATTGTGTGCCCAGTGAACAGGCTGCTAGGGTATATTTTGTGTAATTGTGTGCCCAGTGAACAGGCTGCTAGGGTATATTGTGTAATTGTGTGCCCAGTGAACAGGCTGCTAGGGTATATATTGTGTAATTGTGTGCCCAGTGAACAGACTGCTAGGGTATATATTGTGTAATTGTGTGCCCAGTGAACAGGCTGCTAGGGTATATATTGTATAATTGTGTGCCCAGTAAACTGGCTGCTAGGGCTGAAAGGTTGACTAGCACACAGCAATTTTTCATTAGACCAATTGAATTGGTTATCCCATGATGGTGGGATGAAGTGGCTGCAGTGTGTACTGCATAGCTTTACATGTTTTCCCGAAGTCTAAATTAATGTTTCATTTCATTTTAGTTCATCACAATATTTAGCATTCAGATCCTACAGTGTAATCT